AAGACTCCATCTCAAAAAAAAAAAAAAAAAAAAAAAGTTATTGTAAAGAATGAGCCTAATGTGGAATTTATAAATATAGCCAATATATTTTTCTAAAACAAATCTTTTTGTTCATTTATAAGAGAATGTTAGGGAAATTAAGAGAAGTAAGGTGTTTTTTTGTGTTGTTATATATCAGAGGATTCATTGAAACTTAGTGTTTACTGTGCTTAATTTGCCTAAAATCAAAAATTTGCTTAAAACTTTTTTTATAGAAAAATTGCTCTGTCTCCTTAAGGTTAATATTTAAAATTCAAGAATTGAACATGAATACATTTTAATTTTATTAATGTGATCACATTGGCCTGCATTTTCTTTCAAAATGTGTAAGATTTCAGTTTTGTCACGGTTATTTCTTCTATTGTGTATTATTTTAAATCTATGACTATAGTAATATTTTCATAATTGAATGCACATTAAAATTATGTGAATTATAATTTGTAGAGCTATTTTAAATGGAAAATCTTCCATCAGGTATGAGGAGACAGAATAAATCTGGCAAAATAATAGCCTTTACCCCAAAAGGGACATTTGATGTATATTTTTTTAAAACATTTTTTCATATTTGAATGATGTAATTTTAATAAGACTTTCCTTCCTTATTTATTAATTTCAATAGGTTTTTGGGGAGCATGTGTTTGGTCACATGCATAAGTTCTTTCATGCTGATTTCTGAGACTTTGGGCAACCAACATAAAAACTTTTTAATGCTTGTGGGTTTGTAAAGTATCTGTTTGGTGGTAGCATAATTAAATTAGTTTGTAAGGTTTGGAGCTATCAATGGAGTTTTCAAAAGTACATTATATTTATTAGATAATGGTTTAGACTGAGATGGAATTTAATAAATGTCTGCAAAGTATTGTGCAAAAGGGCCATGGCTCATACTACTAGGATCGGGGAGGTTGGCTTTATTTTCAGAGGAAAACCTAGAAGCAGAGGTGGCCAGGTGCGGTGGCTCATGCCCTGTAATCCCAGCACTTTGGGAGGCCAAGGCAGGTGGATCATGAGGTCAGAAGTTTGAGACCAGCCTGCCAATGTGGTGAAACCCTGTCTCTACTAAAAATAGAAAAATTAGCTGGGTGTGGTGGTGTGCGCCCGTAGTCCCAGCCACTTGGGAGGCTGAGGCAGGAGAATCACTTAAACTTGGGAGGCAGAGGTTGCAGTGAGCTGAGATTGCGCCACTGCACTCCAGCCTGGGGGACGGAGTGAGACTCCGTCTCAAAATAAAAGAAGCAGAGAAGTAACAGAGTGTTTACAATGCCCTAAATTCTAAATTATCCTACACCTTGGAGGCATAGTTCCTACAGAGGAACTACATAGACACCA